CTTTCATTTTATCCAAATTTGTGATTATGTATGCAAAGTAGGATCAGCCCCGCCTTTTTTTATTTCCGCCAAAGAGCAGCATCTCCATGCATAACCAAATCTTTTATTTATATTTTTTTCACGGGATTAAGCATTCTGATCGCAATTATTATTCAGTCTAACCGTTCCACAAGCGTTAGTGCAAATAAATAGCAACATTACTCTAAAGAGACCAAGGGGGCCCAGTTTGGGCTTCCTGCAAACGAGCTTTTACTCAGGTAGGTTGTGCATTTTTATGGCACAACTTTTTTACGACCGACGTGTTTTACAACAATGTGATTCACTATATCAACACACGATATTGTAGTACGGATTAGAGAATCTATTATTACATGAACTTGTTTTCCGATGTCTCTTGAGAAATATGACTTATCTCAAGGTTGTAATTGTAGCTCAATTTTGAAAAAATCTACTAATCTTGAAAAAATATACAGATAATTTGTACGTGTCAAGCTAACATGCGAAGGAAGTGCCTTTGAAATTATTACACTATAAAAACTATAAATGACACGAGCTAATTTCAACCTTTTTAGCAAGTTGTAACCCACAAAAATCCGATTTAATCGCCAGTTAATTCACACTGCCATCAATCAAACGCTTGTTCCAAAAACAAGTTCTGCCAAGATTTTGTAAACAGTACTTGAATATTATTAAACAGATGATTATTTTGTTCTATTGTTCCACATCTTGGTTTTTTTTTAATAAAGTTTTAAACAGTCATAAGTAATTAATTTTTTTTCTATTCAGCATGTTTTTTGAAATTAATTTAGCAACTCGCACTGAAATAGGGAGAGAAGGTATGAAATTATTTAGATTTCACATCTCTCCTATCTCTACATTGTTCAGTTTTTCTAATTTTCAAATTCATTGGCCACTTTGATGATAAAAATTGAAGGTACCGTAAAAGCTACTAAATAAAATCATTCTATTTAAGCATTACGCATAAAATTGATATTTTAGTTATTTTTATTGAAAGTACCTGAAACACAGTTTTTGCGAACGAATCGTTCTTTACAAAGCTTTCAAAAAAACGAATTCACACCTCTTATTAATAAAAAATTTTCGCCACCACAGTAACCAATTGACTTTTTCGTCCGGAAAAACTGTTTTTGGAGACTGAGAACCTAAAATAATAATTTTTTATACTATTTTATTGAGTCCGGAAAAGAATCATATTAGGGACTTAAATGAGACCTTAAAACAGCTGTTTTCGGGAGTGTATACAAAAAAAAATTTACATTTCTTGTTACTAAAGCAACATTTTTACTTCAAGGATGGCTGAAGTTTGTTATTACTTTATTCACTAGTGCTTCTACAGTAACTCAAACATGAATTTTATACACTTTATACTTACGTATAATCGTTTGCATCGAAGCAGTTGTTCAAAGGGATAAGGGATATGCGAAAATTCAAACAATCCCAACTTCATTCTTCCCTAAAAATTATTTTCTCAAATAAATATGTGTAGCCCTGTTTTTGAGGTAGCAAAAAATAATTAAAATTAACAACGTAATTAACATAGGGTGGAAAACATCAAGATTTTTATCATTATTGATTAAATTTCTTCTGAATTAATGACTAATTAATTAAGGACACTTTTTGTGTGAATTGGCCTTTAAATTAAAAAAGCATTATGCTTCTACAACCTACTTGATGCACATTAATGAGAAAAAGAGTATAGTATGCATTTTATGCCATTGTTTTCATAACTCATGTTTGCATTTTCGCGAAAATTATAGAAGTTTATTGAAAAATTCGAGGAAATTTTTTTTTCAACCACAGAATGAAAATATTGCAATATTTATTCTTTTATACGTACATAATTTAACACGATTTTTTAGCTATTATTATACTGTTTTAAGTAAAGTTTTATTTTTAAGTAGAGTTAATTTGTTTATTACTTTACTCCATATTGGTTGATTTGTAATTTTCTCTTTTTATTTATCTTATAAAATTTCGTATTAAACTTTCTTGTCCAACATTAGACTGTTAAGAATTATAATAGCGTTTTTTATGGTTGTGGCATACGAGAAGTAAGTATTGGAAACAAAATAACCGCCAGTTAATTTTCTTTAATTAATGTTGAAATTATGATTAATTTGTACATTCATTTACAAGACAAGTTTTTATTGGAGCGTTATTTGTCTCATTCTGTGTCAAGATCCCATTGGAAACTGTAAAAAATTGCAAAAGTTTTGAACATAAATTGGAAAAAAGAGGATTATTGCTTAATTGCTTTACCCATCGCAATTCGCGGATTGATTTTACTCTTCATTACACATTCCTGCGTGGCCAGTGAAGCGGGTAAATTAAATAAACATTGCTTTAAACGCCTCATAAAAATAGGAAGCAGTATGTAAGTCGAAACGAAGCTATTATTTGATTAATTTTTATTGGTGACAAGTTTCTAAATACATATTTGCATATCGCATTGGCGGTAGCCGTGTCAGGAAGTGGTTTCAATCCGCAAGAAATTTCGCAAACTACTATAAAAATTCATCGTAATGCCAGTTTAGCTTTTCTCTAGCTCAAATATAAATATTTGTCCGCCTGTCAATCATAGGAAGTTTAATTTATCTATTATTATAACGATTTAAATTGTGGCGTAGGTCGTAACTATCCGGAAGTTTTGCGTCAGGGCACGCGCCCTATGCCACTTTTCCTATTGAAAAGCTGTTAAATTTGTAATTAAAAGTGTTAGGCACGCACGGGATGCGACTCACGTCCCGTCGGTGCCTTTTAATTGTTGCAATTTTACAACCGGATGCAAATTCGAAAGTAATAACGAATTGTTGTAAATCATCTGAAAAATCTCCCAAGTAGGACATCACGTAAAAATGGCCAATAAAATTCAGCAAAACGCTTGGAATTTTTATTGGCCATATTCTGATCGTACGTGAGTGCAATTACCACTTGAAAAATAAAATAGGTCAGGTAAAAGGTCGATTTGGGCTTGTCGCGAAAAAATTACTGCTAAACACAATTTATTACCACTTGCATTAGCATGGCACGAGCATGTATGCGATGTTTATTTCAGGAGAGAAGAATTTACGATTCTCTATAAATTCATTAAGAGAGAATTGATACTTTGTCACAATTTTTTACTGATTGCGTCAAGGACGTACAAAAATTTCTAAGCAATCAGGTAATTAATAGCGCTGCCATTTTTTAAGCAAAAAAGCTTGTTTTGTTGATAAACGACTAAATAATTTTACACAATGTTTGTAAATAATCATACATGTGAATAAATTACAAGCCATTAGTTACTAGCACGTTTACTTGCACAATCCTTGTTTATTTTATTTCAAAAATGTGTTAAAAACGGCAACATTGGAAATAACTTATGGATTAAGTGATTGTTATTGAGCAACTCTCATCAAAAACCACACAAAAATCTTGCTTGCAATGAATTCCGCATAAATATTCCCACGATTAAAATACGAAAGCCGGTCTTTGGTCCCCTTCATTTTATCAATAATAAATTTATTTATTTTGACGTTTTCTCGGATAAGCTAAAACGTCATTAGATTGATAATTCTTTTTATCACATATCGCACTCAATTTATTAAATCATGGATATATTTAAACTTATCGAAAACAGAATAAAATGTGTTTACTTCCACCTTCCTCGATAAAATCAGATTTTATCAAACATTCAGGGACCCCCAGTGGATTAATGTCGTACAAGTTACAAATTTTTCATATTTTTCCATATTAGAACGGATGTACGATTGACACATTTTGTCTTATCATTATTCAACAATAATAAACTACAATTTTGTTGATAGTCGACTATAAAATTTTCAGAATTTTCATAAAGAAAAATGCTTGTGACTAGTAAATATGTAAAAAAATCTTATTTATAATTTTTTGTTGTTTGAAAGATTACTTTTTAATTAAACTCAATTAATGTTTCAATTTCTCCATTATTGTGGTACGACAGAATTTTTCCTTTAAACACATACAAGATTTTAGTTATTTTAAATGAAAAAGATAGGGACCCCAGTTATATTTAGTAGATATCTGTAAATATTTTAAGTTGACCACATCCTGTGTTTTTCGCCCGAAACAACGTGAATGAACGTATTTTTTTGTATTTTGTGGACCTGAATCATTTTACGTTTTGTTTATGTCCGGCCGTAATTTCGGGCAGCAGATGTGCGATCTGTTTTTATACCTTGTGTTAATAAAATCTAAAATTAGGCCCGCCTTGCAAAATTTCGAAAAAGCGATTTGAAAATTTCATGTGTATCGAGTTTCTGAGTGTACCAAAAACGCGGTACTAATGTAAAAAGGATGTAAATGCGATTATCCTTCGTGCCACCTAAGTGGAATTAATTCCTAATTATGGCTTTATGCAAATTCGGTGGCAAATTTATGTAAATCGTGCCTCATAAACACAATGATTTAATGAATGGAGTTGCGCATGCAAAAATCAAGTTTCGAACAGAAATCTGTTCGATTTTTATGCAGATTGGGATTGTGATGGTAATTTTTAAAAGTTTTGGTTGTGGTGAGCGACTATCTGACCGGATGTGGTAATTAACTTTAGTCGAATGGTATTCCTAACAATTTGAAGTAAATTAATTCGTTTGCCAGACGGTTTATTAGGCCTGGGTTTAATTGCACTATAAACATTCATGGTTTTAAAAGTCAAAATGGGTCAGCTTTGAATATGAAAAAAATATGTAAAGTGATGATGTTTTGACGTTATGTACGCGAAGTTCCGTTCATCTCGCTTAATTGATTTTATTGTAAATAGTTGAATATTCATGAGTTACTTAAGCCGAAGGACGCCCATTTCAATTGCACAATTTTCGTCTCGTATTTCCGAAATTAACCTCTTGTCGATGAGCTTTAATTATTATTTGGTAATCCCCCCTGACATTTAACGACTACCTATTCATAAAAAATCGTAACCTTAGTACGAATTCCTTTAATTTTTTCTTTTAAATTTTCAGATTGCCTTCGCCGAATTTAGTGGATTCCCTGAACCACACACGAGAAGTAGCCCCAAGGTGCTAACAGACAATATTTTTTAATTCTGCGAGTGCCACTCGTGTTTGATTGTGATTTAGTTTGTAAAAGTGTGAAAAAAACGTGATATTATGCATAACTTAAACGTAAATCTGGCCTCAACGGCCGTCAACTCCCATAACTTATTGATGGTGGACAGTGCTTGCACTACACCACGCACTCCTGAAATCCTCAATTCGCTGATAGCCATGACAAATCCGATGGATAATTATTCCTTCGGGAATAACAACATCGTGAAAACATCGACGAAGCCTCCCACGAACATGTCCAGTGATTCCAACAGCTCCAGCAGTAGTCAATTGGAGTCTCCCACGACCAATCCGCCCAGCGTTCAACAAACATGCTCGCAACTTATCAAGGCTGGACTCAAACTTTCGATCGAGCAAAAACGAAAACTTCAAAGCGACGGAGAAGATCTCTTGGACCTCGATAAGTGTAAACGCATCAAGAAGAACGAGTGTAGCGAGTCGGAGGAGGACAGGAACAAGCAAGATGGGGTAAGAAATGGTTTCACTAGCAAAAAGTAAAATGGGTTTTGTAAGCCGGCTTTGAACCAGCGCAAATGGGTGCAAAAACAACAGTAAATTTGCCCTCAAGAGGCTTAAAACAAGAAATATTTCATAAATTCAAATCGCTTATTAACGTTTTTTTTTTGAAGAGTGCAACTGAGAAAAATGAGTGGATAAGTACAGAGTGACCCAGAAGTAACGCACAAAATTCATATCTCTGTTACGAGTGATTTTTCAAAAAAAACTTCAAACATGTCGACAAATGCTACAACAGTGTTGAACATTTATGAGGTCATTGTTGATAATGATAATCATTATTTTTTTTGAATGCAACCAATAATTTTGTTGACTGTTTTTGGTAATAGGTACATTCTTCTATCTTTTTAAAAGAAAATATTACGAAAAAAAAAACAGTAAACAAAAATGTTGATTGCCATTTAAAAAATACTGATTATGTTGTATGAAATTATTAATTTTGTGCGCTACTTTTGATTCACCTGTATAACCATTGTAGAAATAAGATTACAAAATTTGCTACAACTGATAAACTTTATACACCCAAACGAATTCAAATATAAAATGTGGAAATTTTTACTCAGGGGCGTCTTAATCTGGGGGAGTTTAGGGTAAAAACCCTAACTATTTTGGCTGTTGCTTCTTGCCACTTTCACCCATAAAATTCTAAATTCTACAAAAAAAGGAATCTTTTGAGTTTTTGAGTAAAATCAGTTTTAAAATTTATGTTAGAGATAATAAATAGTTTGAAAATTAAAAATTAAATTTGTTTTACCGTTTAAGACGCCCGTGATTAAAAGTTTCGATAACTGATCTTTGAATTCGTTCAGGTGTTTAAAGGTTATCTATCAGCTGTACCAACTTTTGTAATTTTATCTATTCTGCAATAGTGGGAAACCCCCATTTAAAAATGTATCTCCTTCAGGAGGTGATACATGTTCATAGGAAACTTTTGCCTTAAAATTGTAACAATAAAAACGGAATATCCTGTATAGTACATAAGGCTTTCCCGTCAGTGTCTAAATATTGATAAATAAATTTAAAATAAATAATTATGTTTTTTTTGTGTAAGCAAATGTGTATTCATAACAGCTTACAGCAGTTAGACAAGGATGTGTCAATACCAAATTTTATTCAATAAACAAAAAAGGAAATTAACAGATTAAGCCACTGTATATCTAAGACTATACTTACAACAAAAAAAAAGTAGCCGGTTAAGTTTTGACACGTAATTTTTAATTTTTATTGTACGAATGTGTCACATGAGAGAAGATGCATGTTTCTTTTATTATGCGGAAATTGTTAAATAAAAAGTTTATTTTTGCCGAAACAGGTTAGAAAATCTTTGTTATAGTCTTAAATATTATATTCTTATACTTATAGTGAAACTGAAACTATACATAACACAAATTAAAATTATTTATTGTTTTTCATACAGAATTACAGAGTTATAAAATGAGTTTTGATCCTACTTTAATCGGAAACTTTGAAATAAGTTTTTATTGCCTTGAAATTTTGAAAAATATAGGTCACTGTTATAAAGTAACGGTGTAGTTTTTAACGGACATAATTAAGAGGTAATTTCCCCAAAAAGAATAATTGAATCGAATACAATGTAATGAAGTTGCAATAAATCATTGAGACAGACACCAATTGAACTTGACAAGGTTAGTTTATTTAAAGGATTCAGTTCCTGTTTAAATTTCCATCAAAGCAAAAAATATCAGCAATCACTGCTCCATTTATGGACGTATAAAAAATAATAATGATAAAATTGATAACCGCCTGCCACATATAAAAATCGTCACATTTAACCTAAATAAATAAAAATAAGCTTTTTCTAATGGGCGCACCTAAGATCAATATTTGCTCTCGTCGCAATTTTTCAAGAGTTATGTAAATTACGTTAAATGTTAAACGTTTTGCAATTAATTAGAGTTCCCTAATAGCAGCAACAAAACGAAAAAGGTTTCATTTACTGGTTTATGAAAGTCTATGATCATTTAATTAACCCAATGGTTAATTATAATACCCTTTTGGAATTTTTTCACCATCTTAACTCTGTTTGCTTTTAAAATTGCAACATTAACGCTAAATTTTCTTATCGTTACACAAACAAAATAATTCATGTGCGTCCCAGATTAACAAGTGCCCCCCCTTATCGTTATTGTTTGATATTTTTCATTCAATTACCGGTACCTAACCGTGCAATTATCGCAGATATCGTACTCGCGATTAGAAAGTTCTCGTAAAATTCGAAATTTATTTGGGTTTTTGTAAAGAACCGGAGAATAAACGTAAACCCACGCCGATGGCCATTTGCCCTCGTAGCGGTACCAACACTGATAAAAATACAAATGCAGTTTTCTATATTTGTTGATTCGGGCCGTGGGCGAGCTACAATTATGCAAAACTGGTTCTTTCATGAAATAAAATGGTTTTTTTGGAAGCGGTCCAATACAACCTGTGTCTAACCTCAGAAACGCGATACGCCCAAACTCTGCCAAGTTTTTACAAAAATAAACAATAAAGCTTCCCCCTGAAACACTCGAAGAAGTTAATGTAAATTTGTTTTGAGCAGTTTTTGTGACAAGGCGTGGGATTCCCAGATTCAGTCCTGCCAACTCCCATCATCACTCTTATCGCGTTTCGATTGTTATGGAAACGACGTTAGCTGCTATATCATTTTGGCAGGATAGCCCCCCAAGGTCGAATATTTTAACAGCTGATTTGAAATTCAATGTGTATCCTGAATGTTTGAAAAGTCGCATTGTTCAAACATATTTTTTTCTTTTTGAGATTAGCAACAACATGGCGAAAATTATTGTTACATGTTTTTGATCTACCCGGCGCATTAAAGTGCTATTTATCGTGAATTTTTATTAATTCGACCTTGTTGATTACAAAAACTTGTTTTACTTTTATTGCAGTTCCACCGCAATTAAACGAAATACCGCAGAATGCGTTTTCCAGGGAAAAACTCCCCTGCGATAATAAATAATTGCATTATTTTGAATTTTTCAGATGCTTAATTGGACGTGGTACGAAAACGATGATTATTCAAAAGTAAGTTCCTAATTTTATTGTAAAAAAATTGTAAATGCATGATAAACGAGATATCAGTTTGGTTAACACTGCAGAATCGCGGTTTTCCAGGATGACACCGTGTGACATTTTTATAGTTAGATGCAAATTATTATTGTTCCACTTGATTACATAAATAAATTCGTGTCAAACAAACGAAACATTCGGTGCCTTAAAAAATGGAACTATCGTAATTTATGCTTTGGCAGAATTTCAAACTGATATTTACAGTTATATAACAATTAAAACTTGCATGTCCCAATCATAAATTTGTTACGAGAAATTTATTAGGTGCAGCCTGCGGCCGGAACAATTTTTCTTTTAAAAAAAATCGCAGCTCAGTCATCGCATCTGTATATTTTTTTTAAATCTGGACTCAAAACCTTGCCCAACAACAAACACAGGGACCAAAATAGCGCATCATAAATTAATACAATTATTTAACATTCTTGTGTTATAGAGAAACTAAATTTAAACGTGAAAAACATTTCCTTAATAAATTCAACGATTCAAAAAATTTATGACAAATCGTATTTCCGTCTTTAGCAGATAAATATCGATTTTCATAGCAATAATTAAGCTCAGACATAATTAAATTTAATTTCGTTTGCATAAAACTAGCAGCGGATATAAGTTATCTAGATCATGTAATTTTTTAATAACAAATTTTTTTTTAACTTATTTACTTGAAACGTCATAAAATAATTAACAATTATTTTGTTCAAATATTTTTACTTTTGTGCATATCTTAAAAAAACAAGTGTAAAAGGAATGTATTATTTGGTTGAGGTTTTTATTAAAGTTAAAGACAACAATAAACAACAACTATTTATTCAATTTTTTACAAAGCGCTCCCACAATTCATAAAACAAGGTGGAGGGAAACGTAAAAGTGCAAAAATAAGGAGTGTTGTCCTAAATTTTTCTCTTCTAAATCATTTCTCGTGTCCTGAAGCCATGCCAAAAATAGCCCATTTTGGCATTATTTTGGCTTTATAACGATCCTCTAAACCGTTATATAGAGAAATCTCGGTTTAACAACAAAAAAAGAGATAGGATCAAGCACCGGCAGTGATGTAGTGTGAACGCGAAGATAATATCTCGAGTTATTTATTGCACCTCGAATCAAAATCCATTCTCTTTTCCGAATAGGCCGAAAAATGTTTCATTCCCGTTTAATAATTTGTTATTTAATTTCAGTTAACGCCTGAGGACGAAGAGCGTCGCCGACGTCGACGCGAGCGCAACAAAATCGCCGCCACGAAATGCCGCTTGAAGAAACGCGAAAAGACCGCCAATCTCGTCAACGAATCTGAAACGCTAGAAACGCAAAATATCGAACTAAAAACCCAACTCCAGGAGCTGCAGAACCAGAAACGCGGCCTTATCGAGATGCTGGAACTGCATCGACCCCTTTGCCAGCACAACATCTCCCCGGTGACTCGTGAGTGCATCTATCGATTGCCTCCAGTGGGGTCGGTCATCGAGACCCATTCCTACAGTCGGCCGGCCTCCGTGGACCCCAACTTCAGGACGCAGAACATGGAGGTGTACAGCAGGCCCGCCAGTGTAGGGGTCACCAATAACATCACCTACCGTCGCCCCAATATGAACTTCAAAGCCGAGAGTATCGTCGTCGAGGAGGTGAACGAGGCCTACCCCCAGTTGACCAACCTGGACAACATTTCTTACCATTATAATAGCCAGTGTCATAACTACCCCTCTCAGAATTATACAGCGTCGGGAATGGACAACGGATGCATGGCTTAGTCCCTTTCCACCGATTTCCTGTATTTTACTAGTGTGAATATTTTTATACTTATGCATATGATGGGAATTTCGTTATGTTGCAAGCCTGAAAGAGCGAAATTCGATGGCAGTAAACCTCCGTCCACTCATGCCCTATTTCATTCAGTGGCCTAGTGGTGAAATAACAAATAAAAACAATTTATTTCAAATATTATCATTGGAAAGAACAGATGTAATTTGTAATTACAAACTTTCAGTATTTTCTTCTTACAGCTTTCAATTATATTAAAAATATCTTTGCGTGTAAGTCACTACGCCTCTGATGTGATTAAAAACGGGAAATGAGGTTGGGTAATTTAAGTAAAATTGCTTCCACTTTATAGCCAATAGAATTTAAATGTGTATCGTGTGTGGCCATCGATCCAAGGGCTGCCGAACATAACTGCAAGTTCTCTTGTTATTGTTAAGTGTCACCTCATTTGTTACCAGATCTGAAGAAAAGCTACCAATGTTGAGAGTTTATATTGATTGTTAAAAATATTTTAATGTTGGTTTACAATTTTCTTATCATTCCAGTGGATAGAACTAGTATTTCTTACTTCATATTATTTATTATATTTTTGTATATTACTGCCAAATTTTTACCTATTTTATTGCGTGTTGAAAATATTTAATATTGTTTTTATTACATATTTTTCTATTTTACTTTTTAGGTATTTAGTCGTAAAATCGTTTCTTGTACCTTTTATTTCCATTTACCTCTATTAGATTAGAGAAATTACGCAAAAGCAACGTACGAGTGTTTCACCCCCCAATACGTTACTTTTGTCTGGATGAAATAATCTTGAACACATATTTTTAGTTACTTAGGCAATTTATTTGCATAAATTTGCTTTAAGAACATTGCTTTATTCACACATTTAACAAACTTCAAGTTAGATTTTCTAGTGCTTTTTGTATTATTTTAAACAGTGCCTTATTGTTACATCCAGAAACAATAAAGTGGCATGTGTTTTTTATTATTAAAAGACAAATTTAAAAGTGAAATTGTGATATTGATGTTGCGTCATTTAACTAAATTCTAATTCAAATCAAAAGCAAACATGTGCCATCTCACGAGCTTTTTCTAAGCTTTTTATATTTCAAACAGAATTTCGAAGGTTTTACACGTCTCTAATACTTTGTATCTTATTTTCATTCAACTGATATTAAAATTTTGGTGCAAACTATTTACCTATGCGTTACCTGTACTTGTAATGAAACGGGTAAAGTTTTAATATATTTTTTGAAACTGTGCCTTAATCTGTGAATTGAAAATAAAACCATGATATTATCCAACAGCTTTTTTATTACCAAACCTTGCGAAAGCAATCAAAGCACGATTAACTGTAACAAACCATTTATTCCAGATGTTTTACTATGACAGATGATAATACAAAATTTTCGTATTAGAAGTGATAAGTTAAATCTATATAAAAAATTTGATGTCTTATAGATTACAATTACAATAAATAACGCTTAAGAACCGACAATGATATTATTGATGGGTATATGGATGAGTTTGACGAAGAAACCTATGAAACCCATAATACAGAACCCAATAGCTGTGGCAATTGCGATTTTTTGAAACTCTGGAACAAAAACAGGATTATTAGTTTCGTAACAGTGACATCAACATTTATTTACAAGCAGTAAAGACAAAATTTGGGGCACTTCCAATTGGTCCCCATCCAAACACCCCATACTTCACGCTTTCTTTACATGATTGTTAAGTTATATTTTGCAAAGAGCAATCAAATCGTAAACATATTGTTACTCGTACTAATCTCTTTATGTGCCAATTTAACGGTACACGTGTTACAAAAAAAACATCAAAAAGCGTTTTAGTTTGCTTTTTACATTCAAATAGTATTTATATTTAGTTGTAACTCACCCCTCCTGTCAGGTTTTGTGCATCTTTTAACTAATCTAATAGAGTCTTTAGTGAACTGACGTCCTGGTTCGATGAATTTTGTGATTTGATCCATTTTTCTGTAACAAAACATCCAATTAATTGTTTTCGATGAAATCGACTTATGTAATTTACCAAATTACGATTAAATTTAAAGTAAATTAGTTATAAAACACTCACCTTTAGCTTTGTAACTTGGAGCTGTAATAACTGTGCTTTCTCGAAGTGACTCCAAATTTTTCATACGTCAACAACAAAATTGACAGTTGGCAAGCCACGATGGCAGGAAAGTTGTGACGTGTCGATGATGTTTGTTCGGTCACAATTTATTAATTTATGCTCGAAAAAATAAATGAAGCAATCAATTTCAAACCACATGGAGGAATAACAACTACAGCTGTATTTATAATGTTTTTGATGAAACGTTTTATTTAAAAGATTTAGAACTATACAGGTCTACTACAACCAATTGTTGTTAGCGAACACAGCTAAGGCGGGAAATTTGAATCAGCCACTTTTAAAATATTTATTTCTTAAGCGCTTATTTTTTTGTTGATTCAATTATCTAATAATTGTTACGTTTTAGCTGCCTAGTTAAAAAAATAAAAGATCTAAGCTTTATGTTTGAAAAAATAATTAACCAATTTTCCAAGCGGTTGTGTATTTTGTGTTGCCTACTCTAAAATATTTTTTAGTTTGATTTTAATTTGGTTGTATCTGGAAATGTTTAAACAATAATAAAATTATTATTACGTATATACAATATACGTATTGATTAAATAGTGTAATCTGCAATAGATAAGCACAATCGAATTGAGAACAAAGCACCCTCGTAGGCAACAATCAAAAATAAATACTTAAGAATCTAGTCATAAATAATGACCTCTTTACCCTGGATTCCGGCACTGACTCTTTGAAAGATAACTCTTGATACTTTAACTTATTAATATCATGATCAAACAAAATGTAAGATGTCAAATAAATGTTAGCTTTGCAATGCTAGTTTCTAGTAAAGGAAACAGTCTTGTTTTTTAAAAACAATAAGATAACACGATAATGTAATAAAGTGTAATTTACTTAAATTGTGTGTTTTTTCCTGTCGACCAATTTTTATGTACACATATAGTTGATTATACGCAGATGCTGCATTTCTGCGGTCAAGCCTTATTTGAATTAGATAATGACATGGTATATCCGCACAGTCGCTCACTAAGAATCGCCAGTACACATACTCATTTTGTAGTGTATAGATCACATTTTTTCAACAATGTTGTGTAAAGTTGCTATTTTATTGTTGTTCGTTGCTTGTGTCTACGGATATGAAGACTGCGGTAAGAATTAAATTTCAAAAATATAAAAATTCTCTTTCAGAAAAAATATCATTTTTACTAAATTAATTAATACATTTGCGGCATTACTTCAACCCAAAGATTTATAATACCAAATAGTATTTTTGATTTTGTGAGTCCATGTACTATTTTGGTAACGATCTCATGTCAGTCAAAGTTCAATTCAGTAAGTTCATTCCAAATATTTTGTATTTTTATACCACTAGATAAAAAAAGCTTTAATTATTAAGTCGGACAAGAAAATGCGCTGCAATCATTAAAACATGGAAATTCTTTGTTTGTTAGGAAACCTTACACCTGGGTTATATAATTTAATTACAGGTGTAGTCAAAATCAAGGTTACTAAATTTTCACACAAAAACTAGTAATGTGTTTTTTGCCATCATTTGACACAATTAATTTTTAAACCACTGAAATTTTGTTTATTTTGTGAGGAAGAGGTATAAATCATTAATAATAAATAAATGCAGTTTTGCACGTACGTGAACTCCAATAATATACAATTAACTGGAAAGGATAAATTAACATTACATTAAAAATGCATGATTACTGAATGATTTATTTGTAGGCGTCACTAGAAATTAATTAATATTTTGCACTGATCGGTTTTGCGAAATTTTTGTGACTTTGACAATGTTATTGTTCTAATCAGAAATTCCTTTCTGTTGTTTCTCGAGGCCGTACACTTTAAGGCTATTACAACGTAATTAAATTTCCATCAAAAGTGATTGTAATTAACTGAATCATACTCTTTCGCAAACAATACTTGATTCTAATGAAACCTATTAGCTCTAATTCACCATTAGTTTATCACAATTAACATACATTATTATCAATTTCAGGTTCAAAGGACGGATCAGTTGTATCAGTTACGATAAGTAACTGTGATAACGACAAGAAATGTATACTCAAAAGAAATACAAACGCCTCTATCGAAATAGCATTCACCACAAGTAAGTTTCGTTACATCCCTGGTTTAATATATTATGTTGGTCACATTTTTGCAATGAGACATCGCATGAATTTTTAGTTTTTCCAATTTTGACCTCACTGAAGGTGATTAAAGACGGAAGTTTAATTTAAATAATTGTTAATTTTATTTAAATTTCACGGTCAGTGATTTTTAGATGCCGATTCTGACACCCTCACCGCCGTTGTCCACGGTGTGGTCCTGGGGGTCCCTGTTCCGTTCAATCTACCAAACCCAGATGGGTGTAAAGACTCGGGGGTGAGCTGCCCTCTCAGAGCGGGACAATCTTACGCTTACAAAACTGTTCTACCCGTCCTTTCAAGCTACCCAAGGGTAAGTTTGTTATCGATTTCGCCAATAAATAATAACATGAATTATCGTATCAGCACAATTTGATTGCATCGTTTTTTAGGTCACAGTTGACGTTAAATGGGAACTGCAAGATAAAGAAGGAAATGACATGGTCTGCATTCTCATCCCCTCACAAATTAAATAAATAGGTCACTCTATAATTTTATTTTTATACCTACGAAGTACTTGTGGAAATGAGTCAAAGAACAATAGTTATGTTGTGATAATTTTTATGTAGAATGCCGAATCAGCAATAAATCAGAGAAAGTTACTTAGTGTTTCCTTTTTACCATCGAATTGTCAAAACAGATTTTCTTTACAAAACAATCATTATTTTAGGGGTCACATTTTATTACTCTTGTGCCTTGTTATCAATGTACACACAAAATGCTTAATTTTTTTTATTACCCAAATTTGCAAGTCTCATATCACCAAGGAGGCCTTCAATAATTTTTCAGTGTCTAAAATGTACTTCAGACTTTTGTTTATTTTACTACCATTGATCATTTTTACCTACGAATATGAAAACTGCGGTTTTTACAATTTTTAATCAATTTAAAGCCATCAATAGTGACTTTTTTTAGGCTCAAATCCCGACACACTCTTGTCAGTTTGGGTTTCAGGCTGTGAAGAAACTGAAAAATGTATATTACAGAAAGGAACAGATGCCTCGATTGAAATTACTTTTACTAGTTGGTACACTACGTGAAATTACATCTGATAATAAAATTTTTCAGGTGTTGAATCAAATACAGTAACTGCAAAAGTGTATGGGGTTTTCTCAGGTGGTCTTATTACTACTGAATTTCCCTTTCCATACCCTAATGCTTGTCTAAATTCTGGACTAACTTGTCCTATTAGAGCAAGTGAAACATACACTTATCAAACTTCTTTGTTCGTGCATCCAACTTATCCAAAAGTAAAGTAAAATCGTTTTCATAAGACCTACTAAAAATTTTATGACACATTATAAGGGATTAACCAAACAATGGCTTGAATTTGTAACCCTCCATAAATGGCACGTTCCTTTGATAGTGTTGCTGCACCCACTAGAATAAAACAGGGCCGTATTTAAAACTAAAGTAGAGGTAGAGTTTTACCAAGCTACTATAAAAAAAAATCAGCTTTAATAGCTTGTTAATAACCACCTGGCTTTTATAAATTTCTTAAAATACTTGACTTTAATAAGAACTACATCAAAAACTATTAAAACATTTCAAGTATTTTAGACAAAAAGAAAGTAAGTAATCCGGCCCTGTTTCAGGGTCCGGGTGGGTTCCACTAATTTATGATTTGTTTAACCTCTAGTTTACAATACCGCATTTAACTTAAAAGTAATAAAATTTTTAGTAGGTCTTAGGAAAACGATTTTATTATATGCTTTACTTCAATATTATTTTATTATTAATTTTTTTTAAGATTTCTGTTGATGTTAAGTGGCAACTTGTGGATGACGCCGGTAATGACATTGTTTGTGTAATAATACCTGCAAAAATTAACTAATTGCGTTTTTTCCCAAACAAATTTGTGTGTTTACTGAACTTTAGGCAGTGAAATAAAAAATGATAACACTTAACATATGATTTATTTCAGGAACGAAACAAATGTTACAAAAGTATAAAAATAGGTTCTTTAGACTAATTTATCAATTTACATTTTCATAGAAATAGGCACTATTTTTATGTACATAGCTGGAAAAATACTAATACAGTATAAATATCGGTTTTATGACGAATCTCTAGACACTCATTAGGTTATGCAGGAAGTAAGTGTGACAAGTTTTAAATTAATGTGTGTTCCACACAATTCCTCCAACACTAGTTTTTCATAAAAATTAACAGATTGAAAGGACCCAGTGAAGCTATGGATGTCATTCAATACTACATTACAATGTTTGACTAGTTTTCTGAGTATATGTGGAGAAATTTCACTTTGAAACAAACACTCAATTTCAAACTTGAAATCTCCCCGAGCTTAGTAAGTAATCAAAGACGGAATTTGGACTCAAATCAACTCAATGGCACTGTGAAGAAAAATTTCCAAGAATAAAATGAACAACAAAAATAAACTTTAACAAATTAAACTTATGGAACTTAAGTAAAAACAACATAATTACTACATAACAAAACAAAAATTCTAACAGAATTAGATTGGAAAGAGATTCATTCTACAGTGTGCGAATGACGTAGCAATTCTCGTTTTTTGTTTAACTTTTCTTCATCATCCATAATTTATATAAATGATTAGAAAAGTCAGGTTGGCAGTTAATGACGTGATTATTATTATCAGAAATCGGACTTGGAGGCGGTTGGATGAGATCATAGTCTATACTTTCGCACAGTTGCTCTGACTTACGTTTCAGACGTTTGTTATCATTTGAAGTTTCACCTTTTTCTAAAGTTTGTCGCGCTTTATAAATTGGCTCATATTCAATCAATTGTGCTAAAAAACCTTCATTTGGATGAATACATCCTCGTCGTTGTTTTACACATTCTATAGCCTCCCTATGAAACAAAACATTGTAATTAATTAGTTCTAGACTTGAAACAATAGTCATACTTGCTACTTAATCCATACTTTTCCATTATGTAGGCTAAGACTAAAGTGGCACTTCTGGAAATGCCATTGTTGCCATGTACTAAAACTTTTCCATTCCTTTGAAACGCCTCATCAATGAATTGTCTCACAGTCGGAAAGAATCTGATGATGTTTTCTGTTGCTGTGTCGGCTATGTTTAGCGTTAAATACGTTATAGAGAGATCATTGATTTGGGGTTTAATATACTGGGCTTCTATGTCTTGTCTAACGCAAATTATGTGCGAAATGCCGTGGTCACGTAGAGTTTTGAGGCAGTGCTTTTGAGCAGAGGAGTATGGGCCTAGGAAGAGCCCCGGGACGATTTCTTGCATGTTCCTCCTCATAGTATAAGTCCATTCGCTGCATTGCAACGTGGGCATCTCGTGCATCGGCTGTGAAACACAAGTACTTCATATTTTTAGAAAATCTCAAGTGATTGACAAGTGGGGGTTAGGTTTTATTTCAAGGCGCCAAATGGAAAAAAAAAGTCGAAATAACAAATTTCAATAATTAAAACACGTTGTTTCATCCAAATTTTCAGTTTTTGATAATAGGGTTTGGAAATTTGTAGGAAAAGGCCAGAATTTTGAGAAAAAATGAACTAACCTCATCTTGTTGAAATTTTACTGAGCTCGAATTAACGTCCAACATGGTGTGAATTTCAGATAATATTCACACAACACTTAATTCTTTATCACAATTATGGCATTTCAACACTTCGTTAAATATTAATTTACAAATTAATTAATTTCTCTATACGGTAATGGAGTAGCATCTTCTGCTCACTTCGGAAAAATTCGAGCGTCTCCGGCAGTTACGCATGCGCAGCTCGGGATTCATTAGACTTGGCGCTACATTTAAATAAAAACAAATTTTCTACAATAAAGGTTTATTCAGACCAAAACATTGAAATGTAAATAAAAAAATACAGCCAGATTGTATCAGTTTGCAAAACTCCATCTTAAAGCACTCTTTTTTACTCTCTAAATAAAACCTACAAAAATATGCAAGAAACGTGGTTTTGAATTGCAAAGGTTTATTTGATTGAGATCTACAATAATATTATCAACGGCTGGCTCTGAAACAGGTAACATTTAAGACATTAAATGTTAAATTCACCTAGATTTAACCTTATATTATTTTCGTCAGCAAAAACATTTTTTTTACGAACGCAAACCTGGCAAGAATAAAAAACTCGTCATATGTAGAAGCTAATATCACTTTGTACAAAAAATATGAATTTAAAATGTGCATATTGCACGAAATATAGCAAAGATGTGCATAATACTTATGATTAATAGTTTCACATTTAATTTGTTACTTTACAATTACATAATTATTAGACTAGAATGTTCAAGCAAAATATATACACATCACTTAAAAAAATATACAAAGGAACAATATTAACAACCAGAAAATAAATTAATATTGCAACTGAAATCTGTGCTATTTCAAGCCTAGACTAAATATATTTAAGCTAGATTTTGGGTTCTCATCTGTGCTTGTTTGACTACTTTACGTCGGACATATAACTGAAACAATAAAAGTGTCTTAAAATACAAATACTTGAACCATTTATTGTACTCACCTTTTAAGATATAGTCCGTTAATAAAGTGGGAACTGTGGGGCTGTCTTCATTTATGGCTTTCAAAACTAAAACAAACAAATTAATCTAAATAACTAATCGTTTAATCAAATTTGTTACTTTTAATCAGGACTTGTAAAGTTTGATTATCTGGCGGTCCGCTATCTAAGTGGTACGGAATGACAGTGGTTAAATACTGAAAGAAAAACATATAAAAACAATGATTTGGATTAATCCCAGTTTCGTACTTTCGGGTCAAGTCCACTGGGAGTTTTGGACGCATTTTTTAGACTCCGCTTCTTCTCAACATGGTATTGTCTACGTTTATTTTGAACGGCAAGAAGTAAAGAAATAAAAGTATTCTTCAACTCCTTTTCGTACTCCAACTCGTCTCTAAGGGCCAATTCCGAAATAAGTGTTTCCGAAAATTCCCTAATTAAAACTTCTAGTTCCAGAAATAATTCATTTAACTGCGATAGACTCAAGTCCCGTAATTCTACAACAAGGAAATGAGAACAAATTTAAGAGAAAATGTGCCACGCACTGTCTTCATATAACGGCGAGCTTAGAACTTCTTTCGCCTTTTCCAGAGTTTCATTGGTCTCAATTATGGAGTCTCGTGATCCCGGAGAACCGTCCAACGAACACGTTTCCTCCTGCATCATGTCGTCTATCTCTTGGATGACTTCGTCTGCGGTTTTAAGGGGTTCAGTGTCTTGGTGCAAGCCCCCCAAGATGAGGGCGTGCATGTCTAAATCACTGGCGACAGCCTCGTCTTCTGAACTTAATTCCAAGTCGTCGTCGGGAGTTGTGGCTTCCTGACAAGTTCAAACATCACGAGATTAAAGCAATGAATCTAAATTAGTGCGTGACGTGGCGAAAATATGCGAAAACACTTATAAAGCTTCCTCTAATTGGGGGAATTATACCAAATGTCACTCATAAACTAACCATATTTGCGGTTAACGGCTCTGACTCATTTCCAGCTTGCTAAGAAAATTTTATTAAACAAATAAGTTACCTTCTCGTTTAAATTGAGAGCTGGCATGTGCAATTTCCTCGCGTAAGATTTCGACCAGTCGATGGGGAGAATGTTGCCGAAGTTTCCCGTTATGGTCCACCACATTCTGAAAGAACAACTCGTTAGTCTTGACCTCATATAGGAGACAATTTGTAAGAAAATCAGTGACGTAACGATTTACATACGGCCTTGCTTGAGGCAGACTGGAAGCCCATTTCGACCCACATACTAGGGGGTTCTGCCTTCACAAAAACCAACCAGGATTATGACATTGCGTCATCGCAAGAATTTCAGATGTCTATTAGCAAGTTTGTTTATTTTAGCACCCGCTCTGCTAAAGCATACTGTGTTTGTTTGTATTAAAACATATTATCGAAGAAGTTATAGTAATTGGTTGCCAGCAGTTTTAATTGAAACAGTAAACAACTGGTTTCAATTCGTGAAAATGATGGCTCCATCTTCGGGTTATCGCACATTTAACGAATCTGTAATAATCGCTGACGGAATTTTTCACCACTGTGGTTTATGCAAATAAAAATCTTTACGAGAAAAGCTGTAAAATTACACATTACGGAAGCTCAAGGTCACGTTTCAAGACTGCTTTAAGAATCTCTGAAAACAAATAAATCAAAGTGCAAAATTTTGTAAGACAAGTTATTGTCAGATTCAGAAAAAATATTTACTTAATAAAAATTTTTTTTGTAGAATTGATCTTGAATAAAAAAATCATTTTTTTGTTGCAAAATTTGGAAGGTCTTGTGGCATTTTTGTAGTTAAAGAAAAACATGACTTAATTCTATCGTTTGATGTAATTTTCATGACCTTTACCTAAGCAGGGAAGAGGGAAGAGCGATCAATTTGTGCAATTTTCTAATAATAACTTCCTTTGTGGAATATGACATCCCCTGTTTCTTATTTCTTATCTCTTATTTCGTTGTCTGCAGTTATTTCTATTTCTTTCAATTTTTTTATGTTTCTTTCCGTGGGCAGTCTACCCCTCAAATTACACTACTTCATAAAATTAAAGGAACAAAAGGTTTTCCTAAATTTTTTGGTGATTTTTGAAAGGCTGTAACTCATCGAAAAATGGTAGTATCTAGATTAAAAAAAAATATTTTGAAGCTTTAAGTTTCTAGTTTTGAGATCTTTTGGCAAATATTTTTTCTGAGCTACGGAATCAGGCAATCCTTAATAGCGCGAAATAAAAAAATCTAAATTTTTGTTTTTATTTTTGGTCCACAGAGGTGAGAATTTTTGCCGGATAGCATGTTTGTTTACCTTTAATATGCTTTTTTCATATTCTCTTTACATCAACTTGTATCTGAGATATCTGACTTTAAATGAAAAAGGATTCTTGTTTTTAATCGTCGATATCTCAGCAACCAATGACCACACAGAGAATATAAGGGTAATGTCAAAAACTAGAATAAATGTTATGATCCTTTTATGATTTTTTGTAAAATAAATTTTTTCACCTTTAACATTGATTTAAAAAAAGAGGAAAACGTAACTTTTTGCTTTGTTTTAGTAGATCTCAAAACTAGAAACTTAAAAGTTTCAAAATGGTTATTTTTTAAATCTAGATACGACCATTTTTTGATGAGTTACAACCTTTCAAAAATCACCAAAAAATTTAACAAAATTTGTTTGTTGTTGTTTGTTGTTTGTTAATTTTTTGATATAGTGTAGTTAAAATTTTCGAGTTTTTTTCAAATTGCTACATTTTGATTTAGTAATACATAATAATATTCGACACTTTTATTTTTAAATGAGCTGACATTGTTGTTTCATGCCTTGTGTAAACAATAAAAACAATTATTCTATTTTCCTTTAGTCAAATTTTAAGTTACGCAATTTGGTCACAAATAAACTTACTATTGATGTCATATTTACATCAATTCACACCTACTTTGTCGTGTAATGTTTGGTAATATTTAATAAGTAAGCACTTGAAGAAATTTTTTTAGGTCATGAAAATTAAAAAAAAAAGTGGTCGATCTATAGCGTGTACGTGAAAACCGGGAGTTGGTATTTATCGACACGAAATGAGATCTAATCAAATGTAAATAATAAGCTATTGGGTTATTTTCGTCCCGCTATTTTGTATGTATTTCTGCAAGTTTGTGACGTGCGAAATGATTTATACGGGTTGAACAAAACTTTCTGATACCTTTCAAAAGAGCTATATTTAGTTTCCCATTTTCCAATTACATTTATTGTTGAGATTTGGAATTAGTTTTGAAAATAAGCGATATATTAATCATTTATCTGTGTTGCAAAGCTTGAGGGGGTGTAGCGTGCTAAGATGTAGGCGGAAAGCGGAAATGAAAAAAAACAGGAAGAAAAAACGGAGATAATCTGAAATGCTAAGCTAAGCAGTTGTTTATTTGTGTATTTGCACAGAATGAGATATAAATCTTTGTCTAAACCCTCGCTTATGAAGTTCCGGTGAAAGATAAAAAAATGCAAATAAATTGATGGATTATATGAAACACTCGCGTCATTAAAAATTTAATTCCTTTCCTGTTTATACTGAATAAAAATAGCTTGAACAAGAAAATATCCGACACTGCAAAACTTGTTCGTGCTAAGAAAGGTCAACAAAAGTGGATCATTGCACCAAAACTGCAGAAAACTCAGCAGTGTTTAATTGCAATTAATTTTCTTTACATTAATATCACCAAGTCAAGCATCATTTACTACCCAACAAACCAGATAGGAAAAGTGCATTTCAAATAAATTACTTGACTTCCAGCCTTGAATTTTATGCACATGTTCCAAACCTCACTATTTTTACCCTGTGGATAATTTGAGAACGTTTAAACACGCAAGATTCAATTACGGTATTACACGAGAGTTGCTCTGGAACAGGTTTCTGACAATAAACGCATCAGTTGGAGAATGCAGACCTCACAAGAAAGGACCAACGTTTTTATTTACTTCAAAATTCAAGGTAAACAGGGCCGGAGCCCTAAAATTGTTTCATCCCTCGTGACAAGCCGCTAAACCGATCAATAGGAGGTGAATGAAACGAACCAGGTACGTATACAAAATAAATTATGCAGGTAACAATAGGTTTACTTCCTTTGTATCGGTCTGCTTGTGAAGCAGGTGCTGCGCTTTTGAAGGTTGAGGGATAAAATTTGCAAAATCTCCAACAGGTGCACAGCGCTGATTCTTATTATTTAATGGGAGAGGGAATAACACATCCAACTTTATTTATTAATCAGAGATTTTATAGCTGTAATAAATCACAGAGTACTCATTGATAATGAACTTCCGAGTCGACTGATGCTGTTGCTGAGAGAAAGTCGGAAAGAATCGGCTATTTCTCTCAAATGTAATTTCATTTGTATTGTCAACGAGTCTCGTTATAAATCCTCGTAGGTGTCACATAATGATGATTAATATTTTTTATTACAAAAACTGGTCCTGTAAATCAAAAAATGTCAGGCTCATACAGATTTAAAAAAAAAACAAAACAAAAACCGCGTTAATTACACTAATATGAACCTAAAACTTTCATTTTCTTAATGTTATGTTAGGTGCTATAATTGTTATGTAATGATTCAGTTGCAATCACCATGTATGGTAGAGGTTATCGCACAACCTGTCTCTCATTTTGCCGAACACTTGCTTCAATAATGAACATTTTTTATTTTTATTTCTGATTTTTGCACATTTTGCAAACTTTCGTGAGAATAAAAATAAACTCACAACGCATGCCAGACGCCGAATAATTCGTGTCAGAAAAATTGCGCAACTTAACTATTTATTGTCGAATTTTTACAACTAACTAAAAACATTATCTTCAATTTGGAATTTTCGCACGTCCAAATCAACCGGGAGATCAAATTTGTGCGGGGTTAGAGCTTCTAAACTTCTCAAACTATCTTGATATCTGGTTGTGGCAACGTAGCTCCATGGGTAATAAAATGTTTCAATAACACGTCCACAGTGGAAGATTAGATTTAACCATGGTACAAGTCTTTTGGCATTTAAAGCCGCACAAACGAAAGCTCGAAAATGCGAATCATGACTCCTTTTATACCGCGAATGTGTTGAAATTATTTCTTCGATGGCGCACAGTAAGTTTTTCTTGCTATTTTTAGGCGAAACACCTGCAATTGCAAGATTGAAACTTCGCGATAACTTCTGAACTGTTGACGAATTGTATTCATCACCTCTTTTAAAATGGTAATAAAACAAAATAATATCCCAGCCATGTGTTGCATGAGAGAAACAACGCAAGAACGGCAATTGGGATTTTGTGCCATGTTCCATCAAATCTTTGATACTTGTGGCCAAACATTTACGAACTGCTGTTGTAATCTTTCGCGGATCTTCATTCGTGTGTAACATTTTTTTCAGGTCGATTATAGCAAGTTCGAGTCTTGCTCTCAGATCCGCCCATTGGTTGATTCGATCTGAGGTGAAGCAATTAGAACCCCAAGTAAATTGTAGTAACGCAAACATTTGTAAAAACGAAAAAATCCGATCGACGGCTTCGACGAGAAACGTGCCCGAGCTTTTTCTATTTCGTTTACACATACATTTAGTATCCAAGCTCTTCAAATATTGAATAAACCGTTCCAAATCAACAATCTGAGTTCTAAGTTGTTGCTCTAAATTTTCCTTCATTCGTACATTTTCCAATAATTCATTCCAGGTCATTTTAGCCCCACTAAACTCTTTTAAATGTCTCAACTGTGATTTCAACCTTCCTAATAAAACTTTCTGTTGATCGCGCCGCTTTTTGATCGTTTCCAGTAAATTGTCACCAACCCTATCATTACTTTCCAGGAGATTTACATCAGTGAACGCGAACTCCTCCAGTGATTTTAACAAGTCTTCTTGGTCTTCGAAAGGTGCGTCGACGACTTGACGCAACCGGAACTGAACTTGAGCAAAATACGTCGTTAAAGTAAATAATGAAGTCTGGAGGAAGTCTTTCTCGTTTTCTAAACAAACACATTTGCTACATCCACTATTTCGAACAATTTCGTCTTTTCGATCATCGGAAGCACCGAGAGGCTCCAACCGTTCACCCTGCATGAGTCAAGCGCAAATTTTGGATGCGTTTCAACAAATCCCTCATCAAATTAATCTATTAGACATACTGTCAAGACGACACTGACACTATTGACCATTAAAACAGGTGGCTTAGTGGTGTAATTAGCCTCATTTGACGCAAGCACTCACATAAAGCCAGTTCAAACAAGTCACGCGATGTGCCCACGAACATGGCAAAACTTGACTGAAATCGATAATAGCTCTTGGTCAAAAACTCACAAGTTTAATTACTTGAAGAAAATTGGGATGAGGGTCATGAATAACAGAGATAGGGTTTCCAGGAGTGACCGCAAACTTTGCTATTTGAGACGAAAGTAATGAATTTGTAACGAGAACTTTTCGGTTCCTTCAATCTAATAAACCCAAAACGCAACTTCAAAGGTTTTTTTGAGAAAAGATGTAAAGTATGTTTTTTTTAAATGGAAATGCCAAACAGTCTTAACGTTGACAACACTAGTAAATTCATTCATGGTAATTTTAATAAAGAAGTTGGCTGTTCCTGTTTTTTGAATTAATTTGAAAACAATGTCATTAAACGTGAACACAAAAAAATCGTCTAAAAAATTTAGAGATGAAACACCAAAAAAGAAACAAATTTGGTACACTAACAGTTTTTCGAAATCTGGAAATGAATAGTTCGCAAGCAGGAAGTTAGAAAAAGGGCCCGTTAAAATGTAGACACAATTTGTAATGCAGGTTTGCTAAACAAACATTCTCAATTTTTAGCAAGAAATTGACAAAAATACTAAATAAACATGGATGAGAAAGAACCTCGGAAAGAACGCAATTAAATTAGTGTCTTGTGCATCGTTTTTGAGGAGCGAGTTGAAAAAGTAACAATTTTGAAACTAAAGCCGAAGAAATTTTTTTAAAATGCATCAACTTTGAGCTTATTTCTATAAATTACACAAAATTTATTGTCAATCATCATAATACCTACTTGTATCTTTTGCTAAATAACATTTTTCTATATATACATCCTTTTTCATTAAAGTTTTTGTAGCAAGAACCTCATTTTTGTCCACAACATTGTACTTACTTGCAATGTGTTTTTATTAAAATCATTAGCACTTTAGACTTTAAGTAATGATGTCTGTCCTCAGGTATTCAATTATAGCGCTTTGAAAGAGCAAACAGGCACACAAGATTCATAAAAGTCAAAATTTGGCAACATCTCAATTTGGACACATAACCATAATTTTTTAACAAAATTTCTAGGGAGAAAAACAAAGAGCAAACAAAATTTGTGGCTATGGAGACAAGCTGCTACCAATTTTTTCAACAAAATTTTGACTTGGTAATTTCCATTTAAAAAAAAAACAGACTAGCTTTTTCAGTAGGGACTAAAACTGTTTGACAAAATTATAAACCATGACTGAAATAAAGGAGGAACTATTATTGTTGACAGTTGATGCAAAATGCTTCGTGTGTGAACATCGTTCTGGCAGTTAGTTTTACTTCCATGTTTTTATATTTATGATGATACAATTCACTTTGTTTCCTTTATCTGTGAGATCTTACGTTCAAGTGTATACCTACACTATCAGATCAAAGTAAAAATAAATCACCCTAAGCTCATTTTGATGTAATAGGTGAAAACACGCAAATTATTTTAAAAAAATTGTTAATATCTTTAGTTAATAATAAATTGTTGCAACCATTGACACTATTCCCAATTCCATATCGTTCCAGTTTTTTATCTTTTAATGTATTTTGTTGTGTTTTTCATAAACTTTATGGATTTGTTGTTGACAAGAGCGTCAGTAATTGGCCATTTTCATGCCGAGGACACGTTTGTTTTCACTTGAAATAAAGCAACAATTATCGACCATATCAATAAATTACAGTTCTAAACAAACACACTTTATTAACTACCACAATCGATTCAAGTCATAATTTTATGAGTAATAAATATGTGGAAGTATAGTTGCATTTGATGTATCCACACGTTAGTAATTAAATTAATCTCGAGTTGTGGTTGTGGTCGAACATTTTGATCAAGTTTCATAAAGAAATCGAGAGAGAAAGTAACCTCGTTTGTATATAATATTGTCAAATTTAGTATAATGTCCACTCAGTTAGCATCTGCTAACGCATTACATTGCAATTTAGCAAAATTTATTACTTCAGAAAACGGAAACATTAAATGTCGCCTGCTATATCGAGGTGAATTCTAGACGTGCTTGGTGAAAGATATGAGACCGAAAATGCAATAAAGATAATTTTTAACATATGATCGGTACTTAAAAAGGCTTGAATGTTTGATGTTTTTGTTTTGTAACAAAATAATCAATGACAATGATGTTTGGTAACAGTTTAGATGAAATGACGTACAAAAAACAATGTTGTGGTTTGTGGTCTCATGAGTAAGTGCATTAGTTTCTTAGAGTAAATCACACGGAAAAAATATTCTTATCGCAAACATTTAATAAGAATTTCCATTGTGTTCTCAATTTGTGCTAGAAATGATAAAAATTGAATGTTTTATTTATTATCTACGTATGTCGGGGCGCTGTATTTACATAAATTTCATTTATTATTCATAATTATGATTACAGACACTTATAGTCAGGAAGTGGTAAAATAGCACAGGTAGTTTAAAATTATTTTTAAAAGAGATAAATTACGTTAAATTACTGCAAAAACAAGAATTCCCACGTAAGTCACTTATTAACCTTATAACCTTTGATGGGTGGTCTAGTCTTTTTTCTTCATTATATAAATAATTAATTACTCCATTATTAACAATCATACTTTTTCTCTCCAACACCGACATTGCGTGCGTTTATGTGAAGTACAAAACTTCCACAATTCCGTGACATTGTCATAACGGCGTTATCTTCATGAAAGTACAAAGATCCTACTGTTTATACCCCATGGGTAGAATTCTAAATCTCGTCCTCGCGTTCTCTTATAAACATTCCTGGTGCAATTTATATGTATGTGCTTCTAGTAAAGTGTAAACGTCACGCAGTACCTATAAAGATACTGAAAAGACTTCGCTTGAGATAAAAAAGGATTATGTCAAATGATCTGAACAATCCAGGTCTTAAAGATTTTGTTTGTAGGTCAGGGAAGCTATAACTTGCAGTTCACGGCTACACTTTACTGCGTCATTTTCAAATTTTTGCCTTATACGAAGCGATGCCATCTGTTTTATTGACAGCAAAGATAAATCAGCAAAAGCCGATTTTCTATCTCAACACTCAGCAAAATAACTGGACTTTGTGTGCAAAAACTTAGTCGAATTTGATAAATTTTTATGTGGGTGGCGTTGTGGGCGAATCGAATTGCGTTGTTGCTTTTTCAGTTTACGAAATGTTTACGAAATTATTACCCCAAATCACTGCACCTATGGTTATTTTATAACAATTTCGCTAAATAAAATACTGGTAAACCTCGTGCAATTTTATGTTTTTTGCAGATTAATTTACGACTAGTTATTTACGTATATTTCTCAATTTTTCACTTGAGATAGGTAAAAGTAAACAGATAAGAAAGTTAAATGAACCAAACGTTTCCGACGTTGCTTTATAATGTGCCTCATCAAACATGGGAAGTAAAACATTTATTTAGTTCTGATGACAAACGCACTGCAATTTATTCGTAAACCAAACATTGTAGTGTTGGAGTGAAATTTTTCCCGAGAGGCAGATTTCACAATCGGTAACGTTTAATTGACATTCGTGGCTGCACTGCTCGAATTTCTTTAGAAAGTGTTCCTTCAAGACTTCTTAATTAGGTTTAAGCAGTGGTGGATTTGCATTTTTGGGTTCTTGGCGAAAACATTAACATTTTATATTCAACTGAGATACTGAGAAAATACTTCAAAATTTTATACTAAGATAGTCTTCGTTGCATGTGTCGAAATTTAAATGAAAACGGAAACATTTTCCTTTCTTATGTTCTCTTCTTGAATTTTTGTAAATACATATAGGGTGCGCCAGAACTCGCGCCCCAGAGAAAAATGTCATATAAGGTAAGATACCAGGAACATGGAAAAAATGTTAAAAAAAATGTTATCTATAAAAATTTCGAAGTTATGAGGGTTTAAAGTTTACACTTTGACTCTATTTATTTCTGTTGGAAAAATAATTTTCCAAGTTTTTTTGCTATAGGCTATTAAAAGAGGAAACAAGGAAGCTGTATCCTAAATTGTAACTCTGTTCAATGTCATTTGTGGCTTTTATTATCAAATTTGTCCCTTTACTAAATAATTGTAAAAAAAACATATACAAGATCATTAGTATCATTAAATAGATATAAAAAAATGTCAAATGTCAAAAAATAAATGCCAAAATTTTTTGACAGATAGATAGAATTTTTTAAACATTTTTTTCATGTTCCTGGTATCTTATCTGACTTGAAATTTTTCTCTGAGGCGCGAGTTCTGGCGCACCCTGTATGCAGAAGAAAGTTGTGATTGAAAAAGCTGGGGCATTTTTAAGCGACATTTAATAGAACTTTGTTCTTTATGCGACATAAACCCCGAGACTTGGCTTTTCGCTTGTTACAACTCTACCCTTTCGAGGCATTTTCCACGTAATTAACCGATGTTTCGTTGACACACATACTTGGGGTCTTGTAACTTGTCCTAAATGAAGTTTGCGCATCGGTGTCCTCGGTGCCTGTCTCGCTTTTGACGTCACGAGCTTATATTGAGAGTTTCCTGCACAAATTGGTCACAACCCAGCTGTGGAAACCTTTATCATGTTAATGACTTTTTGCAGATGTGCCCCCTCATGGGGACTGCCAGATTTAACTCATTCAAGTCATTTTTTTTTCATACAAGGTTTGGTGAATCAGCAGTAATTTTATGCAAAAGGCAAATTCACTCGGAGAATAGCAATTTTTATAAAGCGGAAACTCTTGCTCAATTAACGGAAATGATGGATGATGATGTGTAAAACTGATTACGGAATGAAGTGTCCCAAAGTGGAACAAAAAACGCATCCCCTTTGTTTTCATGTGGATGTATTGACCGGTGGATTTAACATTCATGGACGTCGCGACGCCGCGGCGTCGATGACTCAAACCAGGGATAATTCTTAATACTCCCAGATAAGCAAGTTTCAATAAATCGTTCATTCTCAAACATTCTTAAAGTGAAAATTTTGACATTATGTTCGAGGGAAGAAAGAGGGGTACACACCACCCTGTCTTGTATTGATTTTCATCCCTTTATGGTACGCACGCGTGGATTGACTGAATTTGTTGCCAATTTTAACAAAATATTATGAACAAGTAATGGGATTTGTCAGAAATGTTTTTTTTTAATTAAATGGCCTTGTTGAATAATAGCGTTTCAACAAGTTCGACAAGTATAGCAATTTTTCCATCAATAACGTTTTGTTTTGACAACTCTGAAATGACACCCTCTTGACAAGAAATGATTTCCTCATATGTTTATCATAATACATGGGAAGAACATTTTTTGTGTGTTGTGGGTCGAAAGTGAGTCATTTCATCGACACCCACGACTCGATTTAGCTTCTTTTCAATGTGAAAAATGACATATTTTCATTGAGAATATAGAGCATCACGTTTATTTTAATCCAAGTAGTGCGCAGATAATAGCAGATGATTCATTTTTTTAACTAAATCAATTGTGAGGAAAATTGTTATTTTTGAACACCTTGACGAATTCCATACGCGTTTCCCACATCTTCCAGTCTTTAAATAACTCCTTGGTGCATAATACTACCAATTAAATCCTTGTCTATTAACCGAGTGTTAACAGTAAAATTCTATGTAAACATAGTTATTGGTAGCATAAATCATTCGAGTGGCAGTAATATTTAGTACCTTGGTAAAAAAAGGTCACTTACTGGCATTCGTTCATGATCTCCTCTTGCGTCCTGACCTGGACGGGGGCCAACTTCTCCACCGACTCTTCATAATTGCCGAAGCACTTGGTGATTTTTTCATCAAAAGTGTTAACAAGATCCTCAAGCGAGCCCGAAAAAGTTTCAGTAAAATTATCAGCCACTGAGGCCGTTTCACCGTTTTTCAAAATCACGTTTTTTGGCGGCAAAGCTTCAGTGTTTGAATTGTTGAGGATGTCTTCATTGAAATCGTTCAAGACGTCGTTGATGTCTTTGATTTTTTTGTTGAGGTTGATGTTGTTGAGTTCGTTCTCGTTTTTTATGGTGGCGTTTTGAAACTCGGTCGAACCCCATTCATCCGATTCCTCGAATTGGGCTAGTGGTGCTTCAAATTTTAATTCGGCCATTTTTGTGGCCAAATCCCGCATGGCGAAACACCACTCCTCACTCACAGCCTGCACAACACTGCGGAAAACCAACGACGCCGCTGGTCTACGCTTAACGTAGAGATGGGTGCGGGACAAGCTCAGATACTTGATAATTTTAAATTGATTCAGAGGGGATTTTCACTATTTTTGCTCAACACATTGATAAGTAATAAGTCACAACACTTAAAAAAATTCAACTAGTGCGCACTAATCTTATCAAAACCACCTGATAACACTAAATACAAATTTATTGAAATTTTCATTAACAAAAGATAATACAAGTTTTCAGAAAGATTTTTATACTTTCATTACTTCGTCTCAAATTATTGATATTCGAAAGTTGAATAATTTCCGATCCGACTAATTTGTTTTTCAACATTCAAATGAAACTATAAGAAAGTTGCAGAAAAGTAATTAGGTATTTGAATGATTTGGTCCGAAACTGAGGTTACTGTCTCCTCTTCCAGTCCCGTTATTTTTTTTTATATGAAATATGTATATTATTTGTTATACTCATCTCTACACCAGAGATGCGTGTGATTCTGGTGCGCATCAGTACAGCATCAAGACTGGACCAGTTGAGATAAATAAATATTGCTTACGTTTTGAATTATGATTTTTTTTTGACCATTGTTATTGTTAGGGTAAAAGGTTTATCAGTGCAGACTGCAGATGTTGTTGTTTTGATTTTTCAAGAAATCGATCAGCAGTCGGCTATTTATGTGTTATGCAATTTGCATTATTGATCGTGTATTGTTGGTTGTCTATCCATTAATAAAAGTAGTTCATTGTTGGAATGATTAAAAAAGTAAAACACAGGTACTTTAGCTACTTTCTGAAATGTACATACAAAACTTGCTTATTCTTCTCTTTCTACAAAGTGAGGTAATGTGAAACGTGATAAGCATAAGAAATTTTAATTTCAGTAAAAACATTTTTTTAAAAGTTGTTTCACTACAACTATTATACAGTTGGAGACAAAATACTTTGGTCGTCAATGTCACTTGAGTGACATTAACTTGTAAAGCATACTTTAGGACTGCTAACCTTATTTTAGCTACTGTCAATTATAGTTGACAAGTTGTATGTACACATACAGGGACATTTTTTTATTAGTATACATAGCCCTATGTATACTTTTAAAAAAAAACCGGGTCAATTTCATAGGGTAGGCGACCAACATTTCAAGCTTTTAGAGGGTACTAGATATTAAAATATTCAAAACTAAAATTTTGTGTCAAGTTTGTCAAGTGTCAGTTGAAACTTAAAGCGTAGCTTTAAAAAGTTAATACCCATGTCCACCGAAGTGAATCGGGAGATATAGTCCCATCGCATAGCCCCCACGATCGCCAGACTTGGCACCTAACGATTTTTTTCTTTGGGGGTATTTAAAAATAAAAATTTATACTAATGTTCCAATGCAAAATTTAGAAGAGGTAAAAGAACGTATTCGTACAGAATGTAATAATATAGATCTTGAATTTATCAGGAATGCAGTGGCGGGATTTCCAAAATCGCTTAGGTTATTGTTTGGAACTGCAAGGAAAGCATTTTGAACACTTGCTTTAATTATTAAATATTTTTCATGTTTTGATAGGTTCTATTTTTTTAAATTAATTTTTAATTATTACTTTGTTGTTTTTACAAGTTTGTCTTTTGTTTATCGATATTAAAGCCTTTGCAATATTGGTTGCCTATGCCTAGACTAACCGCTAATCGTAATTGCCATAGCAACATTGAAGTTGACCCGGTTTTTTTTTAAGTATACATAGGGCTATGTATACTAATAAAAAAATGTCCCTGTATTTTTGATAGGAAAAGTCATTCATTTTAACGCTAAAGCTTGAATTACATTAAAGTGTCAAAAAAGTGACGACCAAAGTATTTTGTCTCTAACTGTACATAATTTTGCACATGAAATAATTTCAACCATAAAAAATCAAATTTATTGAATATTAAATGACTACATTTAATTTAATACTTTTAATATTAACATCATAGATATAACGATGAAACTTATTAATCTGTGCCAAAACTAACAAAAACTTTATCTTTATCAACATTTGAAACCAGTCAATAAGCGTTGCGTTTTAGTCCTTTTAATAACATTTTTGTCTACAGATATATAACACCAAAAGTTGATACTTCTATGGGAAATTATATACAGGGTTAGCCACAGGAGAGTTACTGCTGAAATAATTTGGGCAGCAACCCATTATGACATTATACAATTCACATTGGCGTCTAACTTCCTCATTTTTTAAAATTATAAAATTAAATCCAAGAGTATACTCATTTTCATATTAATGTGCATCATTTTGACATTTATTTTTTGACATTTGACATTTTTATGTCTATTTAATGATATTGATGATCTTGTATATATTTTTTACAATTATTTGGTAAAGGTACAAAAATTTTGTCAATAAAAGCCACAAATAACATTGAACAGAGTTACAATTTAGGATACAGCTTCCTTGTTTCCACTTTTAATAGCCTATAGCAAAAAAACTTGGAAAATTATTTTTCTAACAGAAATAAATAGTCAAAGTACAATATTTAAACCCTCATGACTTCGAAGTTTTTATAGATAATTTTTTTAAACATTTTTTAACATTTTTTCCATGTTCCTGATATCTTACCTCAAATGGCATTTTTCTCTGGGCCGCGAGTTCTGGCGCACCGTGTATAAAAAGTTATACCCGATTTTATTTCTCTACGAGATTTTTGTGACACTCTTTCTTTTGTTCTAATAATTTATAAAGCATCAATTTCGATGATTATTTTCTGAACAAAAGATTGTCGAATTCAAATCTATAGTTGTCTATATAAAAGATTTGGCGTACCAGCTATTACTCGGTAGATGTCGCCAAATCATTTATATAAGAAAATTTTAGCATTATTTCTAAAATTGTACTCTTAAATAATTAGTGGTTTTATTTTCTTCTTGATTTTATTTCCCAGTTTTATGACTATAATAATTGACTAAGTAGATATATAAACGATAGGTATTCATAATCTGTCAGTTGTAGGAAAACAACTTTTAAGAGCTTAGATTAGATAAAAGCAGTAAACGCACTTAAACAGAACATTAAATATTAATTTGATAGCGAATTCTATTATATTATTCAAGTACTAAATTCAATTAAAATTTCTGATAATAAATTAGTTTGTGTTTTGTGATAAAAAATTATATTTACTATAGATTTTCAATAACTTTGTAACTCAACTTCAAAATAATTATTGCAAATTAAACACAAATTTCTTTCAAATGAAAAGTTTGTGGATATTAGGTATGTAACCTGCAGTTCATAAATGCTTTATGATAGATTCATTCATCCACTACTGTAAACACTGTAATTTTTTTTTTCTCAAATACCATGTACTACAACTATTTCACAAATAATATAGATTTAGAGCTTATTCCATATTTGGTGGCGAACTGACAGTGACAGAAAAGACACTTGGAGTGCGCCCACCCAGATAAAAAATACATGAGCGTACATTTTTTTCTCTAAAAATTTTGAAGACAATGATTGTTAGGAATATAATTTTTGAAAATTCTTTTCATGCGTTAACAATTTAATAATTTGTTCATCATTCTTCATCTTATGTATGAGTATGTACTTATTATATTTTTTTAAAGAATAACAGTGGTTTTGAATGAAATATTATTTCATACGACGCCTATGAAGAATATTTTTTTTTAATAGTAAACATATGTTTAGTGTCAAAATTCAGTCATTTTTGACAACGTTAGTTCGCCACCAGATTTGGAACAAGCTCTACCTTGTTATGTTGAAAAATGTATTTTTATTTTTCGACACTGTCAAAATTTTTTCTTTTTTTCTCCTGTGTAAGGAAGTTTTGACAACTGTTTGGCATTTTTCAATACGAAACGTCAGATTATTTTTTACAGCAAGCAATTTTAAGCCTTGTTGAGTCTAGTTCGAAGAATAAAACTCGTTACCACACGTGGTTTAAAAATCCACTCGTGAGGTAATGTGTCTGATTTACACGCAAACTCGTCGAATAAATAACTATTATTGTCTTTAAAATTAAATAATACATGTTTTATCGTAATTCCATTCCATGTTGCTTCCTGTTTTACGTTGCTTTCTTAGTCGACTATAATTATCTAAAAAAATATTGAAAATTGTTAAACCACATCTAATAACCAGTTTTTGTGTTTATGTATATTTTAATTACCGTATTAAATCTACCTGAGATGAATGTAAAAATAGTGTTGAAAAACACGTAATTTCCTAGAACAACCTCATAATTGAAATTAAACGATACCTAGATTTAACCAATTATAATTATTCTTTATTATTCTCTTGAAGTTAGTTTCTTCTAGGTAGCCTTTTTGTGGTTTAATTATTGTTATGGTTATTAGATTTTTTGCAATTGTAGAAAAATTAGTTTGAAAGGAAAGTAAAAAATCTAAATGTTAATTTTGCTGCCTATGCCATGAGTTTACTTTACAAAATACTCTCAACTTTCTCTAAAATTTCCTGACAAAATTAAATTGCCTATGAAGCTCCTCAACGTGGTTCACCACTCGATAGGTTTTTCTTCCGCCTACATCCGAAAAATTGATCGTATCCCATAAAGTCCTCTTTAATAATTTATAAACAATTAGGGGTATCGAGTATGCGCAACAGTAATGTGGATAAATAGGGGTTCACCATATAAACGGACCGTAAAGGGAAGAGAGATAGTAACCAAGTGTTCATAGCTTCCTCAGTCGAATTATACATCTCCGGGGAAAACAAAGCTCCGGAGCCCGGATTGTTCAAGTGGTGCTCCGGATGTTCGAATTCCAAAGTGAAAAATCGAAGCACTTGACGAAAATACTAGGCGAACTCCAGGTTTGAAATAAACCAAATTTCCGTTCCGAGTGTTTCAATCAATTATATTTAGCAAAAAGCACTTGAGCAATTTGAAAACAACAACAAAAATGAATTTTAATAGACACGTCCCTTTTATATAACAGGATGCCGCATAATGGGATCATTTTAAATTCGTATTGTAACCCTATATGTCTGTAAATAAATAAAT